GGGGGTCCTTGGAAGGGTTCTGAGATGCGTCCTCAGCATTTCTTTGCACTCCAGAGTGGCCAGTGTCGGCAACATCTTCCTCGGAAGGCTTCGTCGGCATTCTCGAGCTCAATACCCATGTACTCATCTGGTACATCAGGTATGGAATCTTCTTCACTTGGGCCCCTGGCAAGGATGGCGGATACGTCACCAGGAAATGATGCAATGTCTGCAGGAGAACTCATTTTTGCCAAAGCACCAGTTAGAGCTTCCCACAAGGGCAATTGCTCGAGACTCAACTTTGTTAGGACCTTCACAATTGCCTCGTGCATGGTCTTCTTCGGGTCCTTTATCAGGAGTTGCTTGAACCACTTGGCTTTGATAGGTCTGTCCTGATCGAGCCTCTTCAAACCTGCTACGCCAACCCGGTGCACCCCGCACTTAGTGGCAACCAAATTCATCTCCTCGAGTGCTGCAGCCATCCCTCCTCTGGACAACATCTTATACATGAATGCAGCACACCACTGGTGCAGCTCCTCTTTCGAGATGTGCAAGCTAGCAAATGACTTCATCTTCTCATCCAGCTCGTCATACTTGGCTTGTACCAAGGCAATCTCGGCCTCCTTAGCTTGGACTTGGCGGGCCTTTTCCTCGAGAGTCACTACCTCGAACAAAGCTTCATCCCTTTCAGATCGAGCTGTGACCAGGTCTTCTCGCAGTTTCCTTAGCTGCACCAGGTAGGCCATCAAGGCCACACTTATCTACACCAAAGTAACCAATTAAGAACACGTTGATGTATTGCTGGTTCATGGGATATATTCATTTACTACAATGGAGAATTACTTACCAGTCTCAGGCTGTCAGCTTCATTCAGCTGAGTAGCAAACTCCTCGAGGACCGGACACTCGATCGATGGTGGGTTACTGAAGGTGTGCACGGCCACAGATGGACCTCCCTCGAACAGTTGAGGGGGAAGGATAATCGCCTCTCCCTCGAGAAGGCCCTTGCCTTTCTCTGATCCAGGGGGCACAAAACTTGGCCCAGTTTCTGGAGGAAGATTTTTGAGGGTCTCAGTAGCAGGGGGTACTATCTCCTCGACCGGCGTCACGGTCTCCTTTGGGGGCGCATCCGTCCTGGTTTTTTTGGACTTCACTTTATCGCCAGCCTTCACGATCCTCTTCTTCTTTTTTTTCTGCCCGAGGGCTGCAGTGACAGATACATCCTCATCTGAATTCACAATAGTAAAGGGGTCTTCGTCATCAAACAATCGAGAACCAGCGTTGCTTGAAGACATGACCTAAGAACAGACAAGAGAAGAGCAAATGATTAGTACCTTTGTTGTCTTCAACAGGGGTTTTGAGAGGAATTCCGGTTGCATTCGCATCTATATTCTCCCCGATAGGTATAGGAGGGATATAATATTGTACATCGTTCCATTTAACGACCTTAGAATATTCCAAGATTTTCTTCACATCTGCATCAAGCTCCTCGATGCACTCATCGTCTTCTTGGGTCCACTCATCCTTTATCGCTCCAAGACCCTCCGTCTCTCGATGGTTCCACGGCAAGCAATAGTTGTTGGGTGCCCTTACAAACAAGAAGTCAGGCTTCCATTCAGGCGAACCACCATATGCCTCGACCATCTTCTTAACGCCAGATCTAAGGCGTCTCTTCACGATGCACCAATCTTGGAAAGAGGTCGACGCAACAACTACTTGGAAGAAATAACTCCACAATACCAACCGAGGTCTTACTTTTACATGTTGACATACTTTCGTGAATCCCAGGACACAAGTTATTAAATTTGGGGTGAAACGAGCAAGGGGAGTTTTATAGTGCTGCACAATCTCCTCAAACAGAGGGAAGAGGGGGAATCTAAGCCCTAGATGCATAAATCGGTCATACATAGTAATTCTTCCCTCAGGAGGAAAATTAGCTCTCTCGTTTCCTAACGGGGCTCTAACTTCTAGATCTAAAGGAAGGTCGTACCTTGTTCTAATGTTTTCTACCTTATCAACAGAATCTATGGTAGAATAAAAATCATCAATGGTCTTTCCTTTGGAATCTCTAACCATGGTTCCGTTACTAATCTACCCTAACTGCAATTCAAAAAGAAAAAGACTTTGAATGAAATCGGGATGGTCAGATCCGAAAACTTACTATTGTAGGAGGGTATGACCACTCGCCTTTCGAGTTGTACCTTCCCAGTGTTCTTCCGAATTCCTGGTAGCAAACCTCCTGGTGGTAACGTCGCTGGGGCAATATATTGGTGAAGGCTGTGAATATTGCGGCAAAGACAGTCAGAGCACTCTGACAGGGAGGAGCACTTTGGTTTTTTGCGAAAAGACAAAATGAAAGAGAAGTGAGGGAATCTTCTCCTTAAAAATAAAAATTACTCTCCCACGTCTCCCTAATTACGGCCCACGATATGACAGTTAGGGCGAGTTTCAAGGGAGTAATGATGGTGAAGCTGCCGTTTGGGGAACGTGCCCACTAATAACGCACGGTTGAAAATTTGGATGGGACTATGAAACGGGTCGCCTTCCCGGGTCAAGATTTAACTCGCTGATTACGCCCCGGGCGTACAAGATTGAGGGTTACACATTTGAGTCGAGGACACTTGACACATTGCTCGACAACTAGCTGAACGAGATTAGCCTTCCACTCTCGGGCTTGTTCCAGGTGACACTTACTTTGTGTCAAGTGTTATTTATCTTCTATAACTAACACTTGACAAGGGCACTTGACGAGTCCATATCCATCACCGAGACTGGACCGGCCCATTAACCAGGAAAGGAGTCTAACAGACTTTCTTAGGGCGGTTTAGGTTGTATAAACCTAATAGGATTCGGAGATTTCCCGGGGATTCTCATGCCTATAAATAGGGTTGATCACATCTCAGTACAGGTACGCAAATATAGCTTAACAAACTATACACTCAATTGTTCCGATAACCCTTTATTGACTTAAGCATCGGAGTGTCTACCCCTCGGGAGACCCTCGAGGCTCTGTTTTGCAGGAAACCCTAGCCGGAGTTCTACTCTTAAACCGGCGGCGCGAATCCACGCTTCGTCAATACGGATTGTGAGCGCCTGACCATGGACTTTTGTTCCACTCAAGTGCCGTCGGAAGCCCAAGACATTATCTCATTACTCCTTTCAACAATTTTTTATTTTCAATCGTGTATACTGATTAAAGTGAGTAGACAACAAGTAACAGAGCTACATAATTTAGCCCTCCACAGAATGAGTTGTACTAGTTTAAGTATCTTTTCTTAATACACGGGTACCATTTTTTTTTTAAAAAAAAAAATCTTCACCAAACATTATTGGGAGAGTTATTTTATTGTTTGTGTACAAGGAGAAAAATTCATTGTATATTTCATACAATGATGTATAATCTCTCGTCCCATAGAAAAGAGCCATTTGTTAAATTAAAGGAAAAAAAATAATTATCTTCATTATGTCACAATAATTTAACAAATATCACTTTTTTTTCCGTACAAAGAAAAAAAGAGTTTGAGAGTGAAATTTGAACATATATGAGTGAAATTTGAACTTATATCCACAAATTATAATTTCAAAAAAAAAAAAAAACTCTTACTCCAGCAGTAAAGGATATCCGTAAGTTTGAAATAAGTTTTAACTTGCCCAACAGTTAGCGTCTCTCTTTCTTTCATTCTTCCATTCTTTCTAACTTGCCCAACTACTCTACTCATGGCCCAAGTTTTCATCAGCTCTTCATATTATTGAATCAACTGAAGTCAACTTTTTTTAAAAAAACTGAATCATGGGCGAGGGATTAATCATTGTCTCCAATGGTAGACATCTTACAATATAAAAAAATAACTGAAGTCAATTTTTAATTAATCTCATTTCTCAAAAGTGGTGACCTTTTAAGAATTTGACATTCCTCAAAGAATCTCGCGCAAAACTTTTCAATTATTTGGATATGAATCAAAGCATAAATAAATGGAAACCTAGTCCATTCAAATGGATATAAACTAAAAATATAAAAGCAAAGAACAATTTTAATCAAAAGATTTTGTAGGGAAAAAGACTCAGAGAATCTACAAAGTTATAATTAAGTAATTTTGTACTAAAAAAAAAAGAATAAGAAAAATCTAGAAAACACAAATAAAAAAGCGTCTCCTTTTGCACCTTATGATCCACCTGAGGCTATTGCCTGATGTTTCTTTAAATCTAATTCTGCCTTTGCTTTTTTAGTTATAATGTTAAATGCGTTGTTCTTGTCCAGCTGTCGGAGGATGGATGTAAAGCCACATCCAATGTTTTTTTTTTTTTTTTTTTTTTGGCGGATAACAGTTAAGACAATGTTCAAAAGATTAAACCGTATAGAGGTGGAAGTTTTTACGTACCTAGAGAACGAGAGATATATGGACATGGGAGCAACAGATGAATGGACATTGCAATTCTGCTTCATGAACAAGATACACTTTCATTAGCAAAGCCTTTTACAAAAAAAAAAAAAAGTCATATGTATCTGACATCCAAGATATAGTATCAATTCTTACATAACATAAAACAACTACGGTGCAAATTATCTGGAACTATAGTAAGGATCGGAGTGAATGTTAAATTCATTATTTATACGATGATGAGACGTTGTTGTTCACATAAATAAAAAATATTTTGCTTTAATCATTAATAAGGCGAGCATTACTTTATTTTTTGTCTGTGTATTACGTAAATATAGCAGAATTCGATTGTCTTGTTAATAATGAATGAAAAGTTTTTGCTTTGCTCCATGAGAACAATGATAAAGATGTGATGAATAATTATTTGTTCGATTCTCATGTTTGACTATACACCTCAAAATTATGTTTATGCTCGTTACACAAGACAAGACATGCCTTGACGGAGAATAACTTAAATAATTATTTGAATTAAAATATAAATAAATGTAACAATTTTAACTAAAATACTGTAATTTTGTAAGAAAAAATAGACTTTGAGAATTTACAGACTTTTTTGCAGAGTTAATTAAAATAGACTTTGAGAATTTTGCAGTAAATTTTTTTAAAGAAAATTCTAGAAAACACACAAAGAAAAAAAAAACAAACAAAAAAAAGAAAAAAAAACACAAAGGTGTCCTTTTCGCTGTGGTGGGGAGAAGACGTCGAATTTGGTTTGGAGTTAGTCCAGTCTGTGTATTCCTTCCTATTGCTTCACACCAACGACGACCCTTTCTGCGTTTCTCGAATTTTTTGTCAACTCTTCAATTCTCTTCGAAATTCCACCCGAGAAATTCCTAATCAGTTCATTCGTAAGGAGGAAAAATTTCGATATATTTGGGATTTGGGGGTCGCATAATCAGATCTTTCCCGGCGAATTATTGACATGGCTTCGAGTGGGAACAAAAGCATCAACGCCAAGCTGGTATCTAATTTCTCTTTGATCTTGTTTTCATTTTCTCGTGTCTTGGGTACAATTTTCTATCTGGGTTTTGTTTTATTCTTTCAGATTTTGGGGTTTTTTAGTTGGATTTTTACCATTTAAGTGAACTATGATCATGCTGCCACGCCATTGGGTTTGGGGTTTTTTTTAATCCTTTAATCTTTTGGGTGAGGGTTTCAGAATTTTAATTCTATGCTGCTTCTTGATCAGTTGAAAAGTTATAAGCTAATTAGTGTTGCTTTGTTTAGAATTGAAGTATTAATTAATCTTTTCTCAGGAGTTGGGTTTAGGTGCAGGGTCTGTTTGATCAGCTGCCTCTCTTTTCCCATGTATTTGAAATTGCTTCTTTCACAGTTTGAGTCTCTTTCTTACCTGACTTTCGTTTACATGGTTGTGCCTCTTGAAGGTGCTGCTTGGAGATGTTGGAGCTGGAAAATCCAGTCTTGTCTTACGTTTTGTGAAAGGTCAATTTATTGAATTTCAGGTTGGTTTAGTAATTTTTGCGGTGTAGGTTCTAAGTACTGTGAAAGTTATAACCTTGATTTTTTTTGGAGTTGACTGTTAATTTTGTGTTTTGTGATGACACTAGGAATCAACTATAGGAGCTGCCTTTTCCTCGCAAACTGTGGCTGTAGATGATGCAACCGTTAAGTTTGAAATATGGGACACGGCAGGTCAAGAGAGATACCATAGCCTGGCTCCAATGTACTACAGAGGAGCTGCTGCTGCTATTATCGTTTATGATATCACAAATCAAGTGAGTGTCTATCCTTGCTTGTTTTGATGCTTTTTCATTTTGTTCTATGTATATCTTCTTGCTTTTCAAACTTAGAGATGGGTAACTTTTATCAGTATAACTATAAATGATGGGCACTTCTTATGTTGTCGGATGTCTAGTCATTCTGTCTTGCTAATTATTCGCCGTTAAGTGAAGTGCCCCGAGGGATGATGGAGTGTTGATGTTGCATTAACAACAGTTTAGATATGCCATATATTTATATATGATGTCTCTGGTTCGTGACAGCAATTTATTGGTTTTGCAGGCTTCACTGGAACGAGCTAAGAAATGGGTTCAGGAGCTTCAATCTCAAGGTTTCTCCTCTTTTTAAGTCGTCTTCTTTTTGTAGGATTTGCTCATATTCGTGTGTTGTACCTGATGAATTCGTTAGATTGATAAAACTATGAGTTCTGTTACACTCTGGATTTCAATGCCTTTAATAATATTTTGAGTTCATATTACAACCTTTCTGAGTTGGTTAATCGCTATGAATTTCTTTCAGCTGCCTGGTCTGGTTTAACTACATAATTAAGATAGTTTTGAGTATTCGTTGTCGACCTAGCACCTACAGAATTCATAACGAATGGTTCTGTTAGCTGGTTCTATCTAGTTGATATGAATATGTCAAATGCCAATGTGATTTTGTTCCTAAATTGTTAACCATCAATGATAAAATATTCTACAGAAAGAGAAATACATCAGTAGTGATTGATTTTTTAACTTTTTATGTTTTTTCTTTTTGGAATTTTTTAGTAGTTTGATCAGTAATTGGTAACTGGTTTAATGTAGGTTTGTGATTGAGATGCTGTTATTGATTGAGTTGGCAATAAACCTCCATTTAGATGCATGCTGTTGCTAACATGTTTTTAATGTCTGCTTGTTTGTTTAAAATGGGATAGAAAAGTTAAATTGTATAGCCTTGTTGTTAGGCGAGTTTAGGTCCGTGGAAACTTATGATGTTACGACTAATGTTTCTTTGCCAAGTGTATTTAGTGTTGTTCAGTTGCCAAGTTAGAATGGGCTTGAAATGTTTTCTTACTGGCATATCACCCTGCCTTTTTCGGTGAAGTGGAGTTAGCTAATTACCTTTTTTTTTTCTTTTGGGGGTGTGTGTTGGTAGTAATAATATGGTTCTTTCTTTCTTTCATTTTGTTTTTCTTTTAATTTTTTAGTGTCACCTGCAGTGCATTTAATCTACACTATGTTTCCTTGAATCGTCTCTAATTTGTTTGGTATGATTTGAAGGTAATTCCAACATGGTCATGGCCCTTGCTGGAAATAAAGCAGACTTAGTAGATTCAAGAAAGGTGGCTACAGAGGTAAATGTAGTTTCCTTTTTTTGTTTTGTTATAACATCCTTTCTTCTGAGAAATCATATATATGGGCGAATTTCTGTTGTTGTTTAATATCAGCTACATCTAAAACAATAACATAATTTTGCCTTCTGAAAGGATGAGCAAGATTAGTTCTCTCTGTACTGAGCATCGTTGGACCTGTAGGATAGATTGCACAGGGGTTGTGGTAGCTTTTTCTCAGATGCTCATTTGGCCTTTCTGTTCCTCTTTCAACTTTGCTGCTTTTGCTGTAGTTCTCGTTCATAGTTTCACTTTTTTTTTTTTTTGTGTGTGTGTGTGTGTGTGTGTGTATAGAATTTCGGTGTTGAGTATGTAACTATTTGATACATATGAGTAAGCCCAATTGATACCCCAGGCTAATTCTTGCTTCTTATGAATCTGAGTTATTGCACTGGCTTTTAGATAATGATGATACAGATACTACTAATTTGGTTAAGGTTCTGCTTCCTGTTTGGAATCAGTGGAAAAAAAAGAGGGAAGAAACGCATGTCTGTTTGGAAGGTTTTTTTGATGGTTTTTTCAAAATAATTAAATAATAAATGTCCCATCCCAGCATACCTTTTTACATTTCCAATGCACTTTTTTATATTCCCAATACAACAAACACCTAAAAACACACAGAAATTTGCAATTTGTGTGTGTGCCAGAGACATAGTTTGGTTGGGACCAATTAGGATTTGCAATTTGCTGAATGATTTAAGATTGGACGGTTGGAAAAAAATATTGAAACTTCTTGTTTGACGAAAAAGTTCTCCAAAAGTTATAACCCTTGAAAAATCCAGTTTCAGGTTTGATGCTAAGAACGTATGGATTTTTTTTTCCTATGTTGCAGGAAGCACAAGCTTATGCACAGGAGAATGGTCTTTTCTTTATGGAAACATCAGCAAAAACTGCTACAAATGTCAACGATATATTCTATGAAATAGGTAAATGTTTTGATGGACATTCCTCCAGCATTTATTGGTTACCTGTATCCTGCATTAGTGAAAATATCTTGGGTACTTTGGTTAATGGGAGAAAGATGTTACTTGGGCAATGCAAATTATTTCTGTGATTCTCATCTTTCAAAGGCATTAACCTTTTCTTTTGTTACTCAAATGGGTCGCTCGTTTCTTTTACATAGTTAAAAGGATACACTTGAACTTGATTGAACCAAATAGAAAACATTATGTTCTGTTGACTAAACAATTTTCTTTCCTTTATGCTTGTCTGAAATCCAAATGGTTGGATTGCATAAGCTGGTAAAATTGCGTTAAGGTTTCTCAAGTTTATTTGTTGACTCCGGTTGTAGCAACCATAACCAAATAACACTGTTTTGTATATTGACTGATGATCACTCTTTAACTTGTTAGTTGGATAACACCTTTTTTTTTTTAATTTTTTATAAAGGGTTTGAAAAGGAGCATAACTGATTTATTCTGTAGTACATCCTCCTGTCTCACCAGGAGAGGCTGACATTATTATAATTTCCCAGGCCACACAAATCCATGATACCCTGTTTCTTGAAAATTTTTAGAGAACATGATAAAGTTGCCGTGACAGCAAATCGGATTTGTTTCTTTGGTTTGATGTTTGTTTCTTTAGTCTTATGATAGAAGCTAATGCTGAAACTGGTTGATCCTTTAAGTTTGTTAAACTCGATGCCATTCCCCTTTCCCTTCTGGCCTCACTCCCTCATGCTTTTTTTTTTTGTTGTTGTTGCTTGTTTGCGTTGTTTGTTTGGCTTTGACATATATTACCTATTCTGCAGCCAAAAGACTGCCTCGTCTACAGCCGGCGCAAAATCCATCTGGCATGGTTCTCCTTAATAGACCTCCAGCAGAGAAAGCTGCTGGTGCTTCATGTTGTTCTTAAATCTTCTGAGGTGGATTAATGCATGTGTGACCTCACCCAATCTTGGGTTGTATTCTAGTAATTGTCCACAATATTCTACAACTATCCGTCCAGCTATGTACAGAAAATCTTGTTGAATTATTATTCAATGTCAGATATAAATATTGTGATTTGTTTGGAATTTTAGTTCTCATTATATACTACTCCCTCCGGTCTTTATTATAAGGCATTTTAATTTTTTTTAGGTTTCATCTAGTAAGTATTTTTCATTGACAAAAGAATCTTAAAAATATTTCATAATAATCAAAAGAACATGACGAATGTGAAAATATATTTTTAAGATTTTTTATCAATGAAAAATATATATTAGGTGAAACCTAAGACAAATCAAAATATCTTATATTAAGTACCGAATGGATCAGTACTTTAGATGTGCTTTGAAATGCTTATCAGATTCGGTTTGGCTAGTCCTTTCATTTATTTATTTTCGTTATTCCCTACTTTTGTTTTAAAAGATAATTTTTATATATTCTCTCGTTCCATAAAAATAGTCCAGTTTAATAAAAAAGTTTGTCCTCAAAAAAATAATTCAGTTTCACAAAAGTTAAAATTAATTGAATTGAAATGATTTAAATATCCAAAAGAGTAGTGGTAAGGAAAACAAGGTTCACTTCTTTTAATTTTCATTTTCTTTTAGATTTTTTTCCATTTTTTCAAATGATTATATCTTTTAATATATGAATAATTAAAAATGTGTTATATATCAAATTAATATACTTAACGATTGTCAATATTGTTTAAGATAAATATCTTGATCAAATTTAAGTTGTAAAATAAATGCATATGTAGTTAACTTTTATAGAAATAACTAGAAGGGGCATTAGTGGAAATTAGGGGTATAAAATGAGTTGTATATTTGGTGTGTTGACTAAATTAAAAAAGTGGTATATTTTCAAACTGGACTATTTTTCTGGGACGAGGCTGAAACTTCAAAGCACATCTAAACTATCCATTTTCCCAACCTTCAGTATGTTATCCATTTTCCCACCTCAGATATGTAGTTTTAAACTTTTGGTCAGTTTAATTCGAATTCGAGCCAATGGGCTAAATATTTTAATAACCACAGGGATTGGTGGACAATGCATATTATATATAAGGATGTTAATAGGTTATGTTCATTATCTTTGACATATTAATAACCGATTAACCATCAGTTGGATGAACAAAGAGAAGATACTCAAACTTATACTTACATTTTAAAAACAAAAAGCCTGTCTTCCATAAACAATAATATCATTGGGCACAAGAAAGTAATGGATTCCTTGTGCCATGTAACAAGAATCTTCTTTGTGATCGATCGTACGGAATGTTAAAATATTCAGTTCAATCATACTCTATCGTTATCATCATCTTTATAAAATATAATGCTTTTCCAAGTGTGTTTTTTTTTTTTTTAAATAATTTGTTCCAACATACTTATGAATCTGATCGTCGAAGCAGATTTTGGCCTTATGCAACTGAACTACACGACTAGTTTATTGTGAGTGTTTAACATGTATGGTACTGTAGGTCTATAAGCATTAATATTAATACATGCAAAGTTCCTTAGAGGTTTTACTGACTCAAAATAAAAGTTATATTTGTTATACAGGCGCTGATGTAAAATGTAATTATTCACACACATGCAACCAACTTATATTAATTCACGAAAACACATAAACACAAAAGGAGCTGAACAGAAATATCCAAAAGCAGCCAAAGTCAGTTGATAACTTCCAAATCTGGAAGTCTACATTAATCTGCTTCCACCAGACTTTCCACTTCTTTTTTCTCCATAATTTCTTCAATTTTCTCCAAAGGTGGCAGATATGTTATTCATTATAAAAGTACTAAACTTTGGCCAATCCATGAGAAGCCGCCGCCAAGGTGCAATCAGTTGGTTGAAAACCAATCCTTTCTTTCTCCAAATCATACACAACTTCCATATTCTGCTGTTGGAAACTGCCAAACACTCCAGCTGGTCCACCTTCATAGTCATCCATACTTTGGAACAACAAGCATTTCACCACGCTGGCATTGGCTGGTGCATTCATTGGATAAAAGCTGTTTCCTTGTGGCAATGGAAGGCTTAAGTTATTCAAGAAATGGAAAGTTATGGAGGGAAGTCCATCATTGTCTTCTAGAGCATTGTTATTCAGGCATGGGATCCTATAGCAAAGGTCAAATCCACTCCTCGTTTCGACTTCTTTTGCCCTAGGGTAAGTGATCATGGATTCAAGGGCATTGAGTAGGTTTGTGTAAAGTGGCTCAGGGAGATGAGTATAGGTTGTTCCTGAGTCAATCAACATGCCGCCATTGCCATTGGAATCGAACTCTCTCAGGCTCACAGGGACTTCAGGTGATGAGGTATTGATGTTGGTTAGAGTTATTGCCTCTAAGCCAATGTAATAGAAGTTTGGGAACATGGGACATTTCAACATTGGGGTAAATTGCATTTGATCTTTTGAGGAAATGGCTTGATCACCTAGTACTAGAGGGCTTGAAATGTTAGGGTTATTAGCAAACTTGAATGGCAAGAAACAATGGGAGAAGCCCTTTTGAAGAAAACCTAATTGTGAAGGGAGGGAGAGATGACCTTTACCAAATCCAGCTATTCCTAATGGCTCCCTATAAGTTGTTCCAACACAACCAAATCGAAACCTAGGAATTTCGCGAAAAACATTAGTACCTCCAGAAGGATTGCTACTACTTCCATGGACTCTTAGGGTATCCTGAGTCAGGATTCCTGTAACAATTCCTTCTCCATATGTATAAGCAAATGAAGGGCATGGTCTTGAGCATGTGGACTTTAACAAAGTACTCAAAGAGCAACCAGCAATTATGCAAGGATCATAATAATTATCAGAGCTATGGATGTCTATACAAGAGGGACTCGAACAGGAATCTCTGAGGGAAGAAGAAGAAGAAGAAGGAGAGAAACTAGCAGCCATGGTGTTGCTATTCTTGTAATCGTCGCATTCGATACAAGTAAAAGAGAGATTTCCACAAGGAACCCAAGTAAGATCACTGCCAGTATCCATATAGACTTGGATAACTTGCGTAGGTGTGCCTATATTGAGGGATATCAAGTATCCATCTCTAATCTCTCTCAATGGTTCCATCATGTCTTGCATTTCAGATGGTTTGGTCTTTGAATAAGAAGTAGATTTTGGGGTTGGAAGGATGGCCTTTGCATGACTTAAGCCAAGGATTACTGTGGGAATATGATTTTTTAGTTCAGCTGCATGGGAAGGACTGAAGCACAAAAATGAAACAATTATGGCGAAGAAGAAATTTGGGACTGCTGCCATCTTAATTTCCTTTTATTCTTTTGTTAGCTGCTAATGGAATGGGAATGTCTGGTGGTATTTATAGATCATTTTTCCGTAATTGAGAAGAGGTTGAAGGTAAAATTAGGGTTTATGGGACTTACCAGATGTTGCATGCATGGGGAAACGAGGATGATCTGTTTGATGGGACTGTTTTTACAATCTTCAGTTGCCATAAGTTTTAGTGGATGCTATGATTATTATGTTGTTAAAGTGAAACCCAACTCGCCTTCATTCCAAAAGTAGAGTGATTGTCATTAAAGTGTATTTCTCTATTTTATGTTATATTTGGTGCTCAAAACCATCATCACAAACTAATATGGATTTCAGTAAGTTTATTTTGGGAGGTAAAATTTTTCCGTTAAATAATTTAACCATTATTACTCCCCCGGTCTTCATTATATGTTATTTTGATTTGTCATAAATTTTATTTAGTAAATTTTTTAATTAAAAATAAAACCTTAAAAATGTATGTTAACATTTAGTGTGTTCTCCTAATCACAATAAAATATTTTAAAAATTTTATTTTCAATTGAAAAAACATATTAAATAAAATTTAGGATAAATCATAAGTCTTATAATAAGGACTGGAGGAGTACATGCCAATACCAGGATTTAATCCTTATTTAATTGAATTACTACCTTCACTACATGGACCAATTGTCCTTAAAGTATTTGATATCAATTATTAGACAATAGATGATTCATAATTTACAATTATAACATGATTAGAGTATGACTCCTATTCACTGGAATGTTTTAATTTAACATTGAGCCTTTTACTAAGAAATAATTGAAAATAAATTTTTTTTTTCAGTCATTTGATTTTGGTTTTCTATTTTACACAAACTTACTCGTTCAAAACGCAGGATTTAGACTCTAATTCAATCCACTCCTCCTTATTCAGAAGAAAAGAAAGTAGAATGAGAAAATAATAATATTCTGAAAATGGTGGGCACAAAAAGCGGGTTGAGCCACAGAACTAGCTGAGAGTAGATCACTGATTAGACAATTTATCCTCAAATTATATTCGGAATGTCTGCATGGCTTTTACTCGATAAGCAAAGGGACAAACGCCTTTGGGAGGCAGCATTTCTTGATTGGGTTAGATTTGGTCGACGTCAAGTTGATCTGATGAGTTTTATGCGCATGCGTCTTGTTTAGCCTTTTTTTTTCCCTTTATTTTATTTATTTTTTTTACGTGACAAGAGAAAGAACGTACTAGAAGTCGAGTTAGGTTTAAGACTTAATTAATTAGTGATACGAGAATAACCCAGTTCATTTTCAAATAATTCGACATGACTTATATATATATTTAAGACAACAGTTTGCATTTTGATTGTGTTTATGTTATATATATTATCATTACGAATAATATATCAAAGAACACGATCCAATCACGACAGGACACAACTCAAACTATAGCAATTTAGAATATTCACAATGAAAATTGCTTGTCTACGAATGCATTAATTGAAGTGCATGCTTATACAAGATGCACATGGAAGAGCGAAGATTTGCTGTTATATAGTGAGAAGCTGAAGAAGGGGAAGTGGCAAGCACGAGCGAGCTATCCACCGTGTTTGTAACAACTCACCTTGAATTAAACCTTCCCCTTTTTAACTTCCATACCAATCGATCAATAAATCAAACATAGAAGTTGTTAGAGGTGTGTGTTGGGATTGTATGGCAGTTTGAGTCGACCTCAAGAAGATTCACCTATGGAAAAACACTACAAATGGTAGGTGAATCAAGGTTCAATGGATGCAAAGAGATAAAACCAAAAGCACTGATAAATATAACCTTGTAATATTAAGGGAGATGAGTTATGACATAATTTTGTGGATAGTAAGTATAATCATTCTGGTAGACGAACCAAAGGGGCTTGACGGGCTTGTATGGGTTGATCTTTGGCATTAAAGAGCTGCTTATCAAAGAACAGTTAGTTGATGTGTCTTACCAACGTACTGTAATAATTTAGTGTTTTATCTATTTACCTAGTATCATAAAAAAACAAAAGTTAGATAAGTTAAATACATGAGTTTTGTAAAATTAATTTTGAACTTGATTGTATGTCGTCTTTGGTTGCAGTAGATCGAGAGGTTCTCAGAGGTTATTTAAGACTTTAAGTAGTCATCCTTTTATTTATGAAATGTACTAATTTAATGTGTTACACATTTTACGTGTAGAATATTATAATCTAATTTTATTAAGTCCTCTTGATTGTGTGATTCAAATTTCAACCCACTTTGGTCCATACCTTAGGCTCCGTTTGGTTAGATTGAGTTGCAATTGAATTGGAATTATAATACTATTGAATTGAAAATGAGATATTAATATTGTAATTCAATTTCAATTTCTTTGTTTGGGAGATCTGGAAATTTACTAGAATTAAGGTTTTAATTCCAATTCTTGCGTTTGGATACATAAAAAATTGGATACTTTAGAATTGAAATTAGTTTATTATTGTATAACTAATAATAATACAATTTATACTTCTTGTCAAAAAATAAAATTAAAAAAAAAAAGCCTTAATTTATGATGGATATGTATAACACAAAAAAATAAATAAATTCATTGTGTACATGTACATTTGACTACTTTGTGGTTTTTTAACTAATACAATTTTTACTTTTTTTGTTAAAATAAATTATTGTTTTTAATTGATTTGCTATATCAGTTTTGTAATTTATTATGTACACATTTTTGTTAGAAACAAAAGAAATATTGTGACTTAAAATTCTCGCTTAATTCACAAATAAGTAAAATGTGACACATCCTTGGTTTCATCTCTTATTATTTTTCAAAATTTTTAATTTTTGATGTTTTGATTTATATAAAAAATTTAAAAAAATTTATTATATAACACTGTAAATTTAGTTTATGAATATTAAGGTTTATTTATACATAGATTAAAATTAGTACACAATATATGCTTAAATTTTTTTATTTTTAGTATATAATTATATATAAAATAATACATACTTAAAACTCAACTTACATACTTTTTGGAGAAAAGATACCATGAATAGTTTAAAATATATATATATATATATATTATACTATAGGTGTATATATGGAACAAGTTTCTATTAAAAAAAATTTGAAAATGTTATATTGTTTACTATGTCATAATAAAATAAAAATTTTAACCCAAAACTAAAATATTCAGTTAATAAATTTTTTTTGGGTATAGTTATACTTTTGATTTTTTTGTAAAAAAATACAATGTTAATTTTAGTTTGATTTCGTTCATAATTATTAATTGATATATATGAAATAATAATAATAATAATAATAATAATAATAATGAGAGAAAGAGACCAAAAAAAAAAAAAAGAAAACCAAAGAAAAGAAGGAAGCGACAAAGCGATGAAAGCCCCGAAAAAAAAATTTAAAATACAAAAATTTAAAAAAAGGCAAAAGACAAAAATTGAGAAGGCGACCCGTTTAGGTTATAACCCGGAAACGACCCAGTTGTGACCCGCATCCTTTTTTTAAGTCCCTTGAATTTGGATTCCAATTATTTGCTTCCACAAAAGAATTAAAAATAAAGAATTGAACACTATCTTAAATTATAATTCTAATTCTTGAACCTTTATTTTTAGCAACCAAACACAAGAATTGGAATTAGAAAACTCCAATTCTAATTCTTGGTCCCAATTCAATGCAACGAAGAAGAGCCTTAAAAGAGTTGCAATGTGAGTTATTGAACTTTCACTTTCTTTGAAAATATTGAGTGGGATGGTAAGAATAGATACGGAGTTGGGAGTTCAAAATCTCGGACAATTTTACTATTTCATTTTTTTTCAGAAGAGATAATTAATCGAATAAAGGTCGAAGTTGGTTTCGAAATTTAAGCCCGGTATAAACCGAACTCTTTATTAATCCAATTCAAGACATACTTCTGAACTATTTTTCATGACCAATCAAATTACACCTTTTTCAATCTTGTAAGGAGATTCCTATTTTTTTTTTTTTTTTTTTTTGATTTTTTGGGTACAAATCTTGTAAGAAGATCTAAAATCAAATGTCTCCCTATCTATACATGTTATATGTTAAGGAAGCTAAGTAGTTGAGAATGATGGACGATTATGAACTTTAAAGGTATAAACCTAACTATATCATAGCGACATAGCATATGCGATTCATTAAACACATAGAGTTGGTGGAGATTACGGGTGTTATATTTGAGCTTAATGTAATGATCTTTTGTCCAAGAAAAATAATCCGCATTCAACTTTGAGTTTTGTATTTATAACAGTATAGATCTCAAATTCAATGTTGGCTAATTTCTTGGGAGAAAGAAAGTATGAATTGTCTGTTTGAAGATAAAACCATCAACAATTGAGAAAATTAAATTACGGCTACAAATTAATAGAGCATGATGCGATATGGAAATCTCTCTCCCGCTAGAATTTATTTTGTTGCAAGCATCATTTTTGGGTGGCTGTTTGATGGTTGCGCAAGAATTTTCTTTTAGATCGATGGACAGGAAAAAAAAAATTATTATGAAAGAAAACAAAAATTACATAGTGTTCCATACCCGTTTTCTAACTCATCACTCACAATACAAAACAAGCCATATGTACGTCAGGATCATTTTCCATAAAACAGCGAAAAGGCATTTGTAAGAAACTTTTAAACAAAATGGCGGCATCAACTTATACCGGTATACAAGTTGTTAATTTTATTTTATTTTTTTTGACAATAAAAGTTGTTAATTAAGATCAAATAGAGAAGTGGATGTAAAAAAAAACATTAATTATATTTGTGATAATGCCACTTAAAAAAAAATAAAAACGTTTAAAGGGCGCCTGTGTCAAAGCTGATGAAAAATCGTCCAAGTCCAGCATAAGCATCATCTAATCACATAATTAAAGTAAAGTTAGTGTAGACATCAAAGAGTTGCATATGAGCCACACCTTTTCTATATCCGGAAAAAAATTCAAACCTAACTTCGACTGAAATGGTTTTTGATTGTTGGACAATTAGAGGAAAAA